AACACCCTACATTGCAACAGGATAGTGCTTCCAGAGCAAAGAAGTATCCAGTCCAAAATGTCACCAGTGCTGAGGGTGAGAAACCCTGCTTGCTATAGGTGGATTAAGACTATACTCATTGGAAACAGCTCCTGCATTTCTGATTGAACCAAACAACCCTCTGAATAATGCTGATGAGACTCTACGGAAATAACTGCTTAATTAAATGATTGCTCAATCCAGCCTTTTCTAAGCTGGGTCAAGTCAGGTCTTGGAACGATTAAGGGCCCAACCCAATTTAAGCTTAAAAGATATTTCTGATTGACTGAGAGCCTTCCTCCCTTGTACTTCCTGTCCCTCTGGCTGACCCAAGGAGCCATGCCCAATGGCAAACTGGATGGGTGGCATCCATAGCAATGAGCATTTGTGATAGCTGTCCACCTCATTATCCTTGAACCCAACATTAATCCTGGTATCTGAGCTTCTGGTCCCCAAATCTTATAATCCTCTAAATTCAGCATTTTGCCTGAACCATTTTCCCCACCAATTACACCGTTTCCTGTCTGCCATCCCTTGTCCCTTCATTCCTTCGATTCCTCCTCCTTCAATCCTCTCTTGGCTTGCCCCAGATGACTACACTTATGCCTATTTGTGCTTCCCTTCACTCATCTGGCCTCTGCTTGGGCCTCACCTTGACCTGTCTCTGTGGCCCAACCAGTTCATCAAATGGGCAGTCCTCCAGAACCCATCATCATCTTTTTTTCTCTACTTCTTCCCTTTGGGATGAAGACCTCACTATCAAAAGCAAATATACTGCCAACACCAGTTTGGCTCAGTGGATAGAGCATCAGCCTGCAGATTGGGGGGTCCAGGTTCGATTCTGGTCAAGGGCATGTACCTTGGTTGCGGGCACATACCCGGTGGGGGGTGTGCAGGAGAAACTAATCAGTATTTCTCTCTCATCGATATTTCTAGCTCTCTATCCCTCTCCCTTCCTCTCTGTAAAAAAAAATCAATAAAATATATACATATTAATATATATATATATATATATATATAGTGTTTTATAATACACAAAGTATCTTTAAATAACTTATCTCATTTCATCCTCAATGTGACCAGGCAGGTATTGACCCTTAAACAACACAGAGACCAGGAAGAATGGTCAAGTAAGGAGGAAATACTTCTCCTGGGGCTGTCTGTCATTGTGTCCATTATGTTGACATTATACCTGCTGTTAACTTTACTAGGAACACTCTCCTCTTTCCTCCCATTTATCTTTCAGATCTGTGTTTGTAGTTGCTTCCTCTAGGCACCTGACCCACTCAACTGGCTTTTCTATGGGCTGCTGTGATACCATATGCCTCCCAGGTGGAAACTCTCACAAGCTCTGTCTTTCAGACTTTGTGTTAGCAAGACAGTGCCTGCCTTGCTCACCATTGTATTTCCAGGACCATGTATACTTAGTTCCTGGCAGATTATCAACTAAATGGATATGTCAGTACAAGTTGGTAAGTAGTTTTCTTCCTGACCAATACAATACTAGAGAACAGAGGGAACCTGCTAACCCAGCTCAGGGCTCCTATGACAAGATTTGGTGAGGAACATGATGGGAGGCTTTGGCACAGCTTGGGTTATTCCTAGGCTTCCAGATATTTCTAGTTTAGTCTTCTAGGTCAGGAGGCTTCCTCTTTTGGAGGAATGAGTTTGATGGCCCTTGGGTTTGATGGTGATGGGGAGGCACATGGATCATCATGCGTCACCCTGTCTTCCCAACTAGTTTCAGGCCACAGGCATGTGGATCCTCTGGGATGTCCAACCATGCCAGAAATCAGGAGTATGCTAGTCTTGTTAGAAGTCTTGGTAACCACCTGACTATTCTTCTATGCATCAGTAAAATATCCACAGATGCGCTGCCTGTCTTCTGATTACCTATCGATTCCATTGTAAACAGCTGAGCTATTCCCTTATGCATGACCATTCTATTTGCTTGTTCAACAGGACTCTAGTTTGTAGAACAAATTCTGGGATGTGGAATTTCTCCCCCTTAATGTTTGGATAGTGCCTAAATAAAGGAGAAATATAACAAAATGAGGCCCACCATGTCCCAGTAAAAAATATATGTAACATGTACCGGACAATCCCTCTACATAAGCCATGCACAAGCACCCCATTCTGGGTACTTTTGGTGGCCTTAGGACTGAGAATTTAACTGAGAAAAAGAAGAAACTCCTTGGTCGTGAGGCACCTCTGAACTAGAGTAGAAAATTTGACTTCACACAAATAATTCCGTAAAACCTCCCACAAAAACAGTTACAGACCAGCTCCATTTTGCCACAACCTCCTTTGCATGCTGTAGCCACTGTGTACAAGTGTAGGTCTTGAGCAAGTTCACACACCTAGGTATTCACTATAGGAATGGTTTCTACCTCCAGCTGATCATAATAATTTTCAAATGGATCCCCAATTCTCTCTCTGGAAATTCAAACTAAGTAGGTCTAGGATCATTTCTAGGATTCCATGTCTTTAAGTGGGTTCCCAGAGTCATTTCACCGTACCCTAGTGCCACGACAAAGAGGAAGGAACCTCTGAGAACATCTAGAGCAATTCCCTCATTGTACAGTGCTGATGATAATTCCTGAGAGGGAGGTGTAGAGAGAGAGAGGGGAAAAAAAATAGAGAAACATGATTCCAAGATAGGAAGCATAACCTTAATCTCTCTTACAGTCACTTGAACTTGGCCCTCATCTCTGGAAGCCAGGCCCTCCTTTCTAGCATGGTGGGATGTCAGGCGTTGAGAGTCTTGCTATCTCTGTCTATTACTCTGTGGCTTTGCCAATGCATTGGCACTTCTGGGCAATGATGTGTCAAACTGAAATGGAAAAAACACTATACAACTTGTGTATTGCCTCAGACTACTGTGAGATTCAAAGGGGAGTCTCTCGCAGATCTTTGAACACCTTCAAAGAACTTTATAAATGGTATTTTTAAATGTAATTTTGAATCCTCAGTCCTGGTTCTAGGGACTTTTTAATTTTTGCTCAAATCCTGACATAGAAGAAAAATGCAGAGAACTGGAGGCAGGTGGTCAGTGAAAGGGTAGAGGGTGGGGGTGGAAGGGATGCCTGGGAAGGAACACCCAAAGTCAGTGTTGAAGGACTGTAGGGTATCATAAATGATGCTCCTGAGGTCACAGTCTCCATTGCCAAATGCATTTTAAACAATCCTCCAGCTTTTAAAGCATATGGACAGAAACAGCAGACACATGGGCTCACATAAGAAACATTCAAAGCCCACAGAAAGGCATGCAAACACACACACTCCTGGGCATGGTTTCCTCTGAACTGCTACAAATAGGCTATAACTTATCACTGAGGGCCTGTCTGGAGGCTCAGGGCTGTCAGAGGAAGTGGACCTTTGAGGCCAATTCGGACTAATCCCAGGAGAGACTGGGCCCTGAGCTTCTCTGGCCTCAGAGATGGCACTGAGGCTAGCTCCTACACAGCCCTGGCCTGTGAGGAGCTCCAGGCCATCCGGGGCTCCCTAGCTCAGGCCGTGCCTGACTCACCTAGGTTCTGTATCAGTAGGTCTGGATGACACATTTGTATTTCTCACAAGACCCTACGTGATGCTGATGCTGTGGTCCAGGTACCACACTTTGAGAATCAGTGTGCAAGGCTGCAAGCTACCAGAGCAAACAAGGGTTCTGTCTGTCCCTTTTACCAGAGCCTTCCTAGCATGAAAGCAGTGAATATACTATCTAACAAATGAGTGATATGAAAATTGACCATCACCCCAACACACAAGATGGCTGCCCCCATGTAATCAAAGATGGCTGCCCCCATATGGCCACAAGATGGCCAACAGGGGAGGGACCAGGCCTACAATGGAGGGCAGTTAGGGGCAATAGAGCTAGCAGGGGAGTAGTTAGGTGTCGATCAGGCTGGCAGTGGAATGGGTAGGGATGATCAGGCAGGCAGGCAGGTGAGTGGTTGGGAGCCAGCAGTACTGTATTATGAGAGGGATCCCAGATTGGAGAGGGTGCAGGCTAGGCTGAGGGACACCCCCTCCCCCATGCTCGAATTTCGTGCACTGGGCCTCTAATTCATAAATAAATAAATAAATAAATAAATAAATGGATTACACATGGAAAGCCTCAATTTTTCTTTATAACACAGGTAGTCTCTTGGATTCTCCACCACTGATATTGCATTACTAGATCCCTGGGGCAAGGAAGAAACATATTCAGAGCCAGGTCCTGTATTTGTGGTGCCCACTATGGTGCTGGGGCTGTGAGGCCCTCTGGGTTGTGGCCCTTGAGGAGAAAGGCACTGAATCATACCTTCAGGACCCAGACCAGATCTGCCTCCCTTTCATCCTGGTGGCCTCAGATACTCTCTCCCTCTGGGGAAGGGATTTCCTCCAGAACATTAGTTCCCCAGCCAGTACTTGTCATCTGAAGGGAATATGAGGAAGAGATACCACAGGCTCTCCTGCCACTCCAAGCCCCACCTTCATGGCCAACATGCCTAATGGAATTTGGGAGCAATAGAGGAATGCAGAGTCAGCCTCAGATGCTCCCTTTTCTAGTATGTCCCCCAAAACACAGCAGATAGTTTATTCAGAAATACAGAAGAGTGTATCCTGTGCAGAGTATCCCAGAGAGCCTAGGAAGGATCCCTTCTCTCTGCCCTGACTTCATAAAGGTCACATGACAGTGACTACGGCCCCAAAGTACAGTTGGGTGACCTGACCAAGGCAGGCTTGAAGACCTTTACCCCTAAACTGAGGAGCAAGAGCTATCTTCCTTGTTTCCTCATTCCTTGTGTGTTTGTTGTTGTTGTTGTTTTTCATCCATTCTTTCTCAGCAGGGATCAGGGACACTGATGGGAGACAGAAAACCCGCAAAGCAGGCCACCTGGTCTAGTCTAAGGAAAGCTCAGCCATGGGTAACAATAAACCCAAGAAGAAAAACAATAAAGAAAAGAAAAATAAAAGCTTATTCCAAGGAGTCAGGATCTGAGTGTAGCATTATCTTTATTGTTACATGGTTTCTTCTTGTCCCAGGCTTGGGGTTGCCCAGCAGGACTGATCATGGCTCAAGCTGCCAACCAACAAACCTTGAGGAGTAGCTGCCTGCCCCAGGAGAAGCCAGGGACTTCGGGGATATTCTGACTCCACTCAAATGGGAGCTTACAATCTAGCTGGGCAGGTAAGTCAGACACGCCTGAAAAATTAAATAGTTCAAGAGATGTTGCAAGGCACTTGGCAAATGGATGTGTGGACGATGCAGTGTGTTTTAGGAAGTCAGTGCAGGCTTCTGTGAGTGGTAATAAGCAGAAAAGGCTCCAAGGAAGAGGTCATGAAAGATGGGTTGGGTTTCAGATATTGGGAGGAGCGAAGAAGTGGTCCAGGAATCCCGGGGGTGAGGAATGGACAGAGGCTTGGAGGCAGGGATGGCTAAGGTATGTCCTGGGGAACACCCAAGATGTGCCCTGGTTGTGAGACTGGTCCGGCTGGAACAGAGGATGCTTATGGGAGAGGAGTCGGACACATGAGGCCACAGGTGTCTGAGACGCAGGTGTGGGTCCTATGATGACATGTAAAGGACATCGTCGCCTTTGCAGCGGGGAGCCTCTGACTATCTTTGGAGCATTGCAAACAAAAGCAGGGAAACTGTGGCTGCTGGGGGAGGAGGAGCCACCGTTTCAGGGCAGGAGGCAAGGATGCTTCCGCCACGCCACGCTTCCTTTAGAAGTAGGCGCTCTTGACTCCGGCATAGTAGTCCCCACCTTTCATTCCGACAGAGGCGCCGCCTCCTTTCACTCCAACAGAGCCGCCTCCTTGGTCCCCATAACCGCCCAGACCCCGCTGCGGCTCTGGGAACACATCACAAGGTCCAAAGCTGGCATCACCACCCTCTCCGCACTGGTTGTAAGCCGCTGGGCCGCAGCTGGGGCCCTCCATGTCCAGGCGGCCTGGGCGGGACTCATGGCAGCCGAGGTCTCCTGAGCCTGCCATCATCGGGCCTGAGCAGGGGCTGGGGCCGCGCTGGGGCTGCACGCAGGGCTCTGGGCTGGAGCAGGGCGCCGGGAGGGGAATGGGCTCCGGACACGGTTCTGGGCGCTCATAGGACTGCGGACGGGGCGGCTCTGGAAACTCACACCGCGATGGGCCAGAACGTGGGGCTGGACGCGGGGCTGGGCTCGGCTCCCGACACGGACCGGGCTCAGGAAACCGCCTCGGTGGAGAATACTGGGGGCGTCGCTCCGGGCTTTCGCACCGCCGTGATGGGCGTGACGGTCGCGGGGCGGGCATCGGACACTGGTCATAACCCCTGGGCGGGCAGAAGCTGGGGAGCGGACGCGGCCTCAGCTCCGGGCAGGAGGAGCCCCAGGAGGGCCTCGGGGCGCAGCTCTCAGAGCAGCGGCCAATGGGGGGGAGCTGCACCGGGCGCCTCTGGGGGGGCACCTGCCTGGGGCAGGAGGGCGAGGAGATCTCGATGCGGCACCGGGGCCCTTGTCTCTGGGGGCAGCTGGCCATGGGGCGCTGCGGAGCGCTGCAGCTGTGGTAGATGGGCTCGGAGCGGCGGGGTGGGGTGCAGTAATTAGAGGAGGGCATGCAGCTGCTATAGTAGGGCTCGGAGCGCCGTGGAGGGGAGCAGCTGCGGTAGGAAGGCCGCATCTGGCGGGGTGGGGAGCAGCTGCTGTAATAAGGCCGCATCTGACGGGGTGGGGAGCAGCTGCGGTAGGAAGGCCGCATCTGACGGGGTGGGGAGCAGCTGCGGTAAGAAGGCCGCATCTGGCGGGGTGGGGAGCAGCTGCGGTAAGAAGGCCGCATCTGGCTTTGAGGGATGCATCTGCTGGTGCTCCTAGCCCGACGCTGCATGGGGAAGCCCCCGTAAGAGCCCTGGCTCTGGCATTGGGGTGCATACGTGCGGAACGAAGGCCGGGACTGACGCTGGGAGGCGCAGCCGCCGAAGGAGCCCTGGCCGAAGGAGCCCTGGTACTGGCACTGGGTGGAGAATCTTCCTTGAGTCTGGCCCGCCGAGGGGTACGCCACATACCTCGGGACAGGCTGGGGAGCCGGGTAGGGTACATAGGTTTGGACGGGGCATTCCACGTAGCGAGTTTCTGTGTAACAAGCCGGAGCGCATTCTACAAAGCAGGTCTGAACAGGGCATGGGGCTCCGCACTGCACGTAGCAGACCTGGGGCTGGCCTGCAGCCAGGATGCTCCCCGGCGCGGCCTGGGCCTGGCCTGCAGCCAGGATGCTACCCTGGGCGGCCTGGGCCTGGCCTAGAGCCTGGCCCTTCACCGTGGTGGTCTGCGACTGGCATGGAGCCTGGCCTTTCACCTGAATGGTCTGGGGCTGGCAGGGAGCTTGGCACTTCACCTGGGAGACTTGAACTGGGCACGGTGCAGGGCACTCCACGATTTGCATCCCACAAGGGGCTTGAACGACCACCTGGCCCTGGGGAGAAGGGTACGAGGAGGGGAAGAAGGAGGAACCCTTCACACAGCACTGGGGGGGCGGCAGGCAACACGGAATCTGCTGCTGGTCACACATGGTTCCGGTGCAGACGTGTGAACAGGACCTGAGAGGCGGGAAGACCAGCTTTAAGAGGGTGAGATGTGGGAAGGAGGGCCCGCAACCAAGGGAAGACACCCTGCTTCTCCCCTGACCTTTCTTCCCCAACCCTCGACCTTTATTCTATAGAATACTCGCTGAGTTGTCTGGACTCAAGATTAGTCACTCTTGCCCAAGAAACCTGCCTTGGACCCGCTGAAAGACCTGACCGAGGTCCTGATCTGGGTGGGACAGCCTCAAGGGCACAGCCAGACTGCAGGTGTCTGGGCTCTTGCCCTGGAGGCCAGGCATACCAGTGTCCAACACAAGAGGGCGCTAACAGCAGGAAGGTTCCCATCACCTCCTGGTCTCCTAAGTGGTGGAAGGAAGTTCTACAGAAATGGAGGCAACCCATGCTCTAAGGCTGTTGTCCAGAGTGAGGACTCCCCAACCATAGGAGCTTACACTTCTCAGACACATGTACTGTCCACACATGAAAACATGGTTATATAAGAACAAGCATATACACATTCAGGCACCATCTGTGCTCAAAGTGTCCACTGGGGAGTAAAGAATTCAGGTTGTTATTGGGCAGCTCAATCCCAACCTCAAATGTTTGTTTCTCTGTGTCCAATCTTTTTTAGGTGAATTTGTTTAGACTGGCCCTCTAAACAGGGCATAGGTAAAAGACGTGCCTACAAAACACCAGCCTCGGAAAGGCTCAGGACCAACATGACAACTTGCCCAGCCAGTTGCTGTCCTTCCTCACCTGCCAGCTTCAGAAAGGGCCACTCTGCAGCCCCTCTGAGAGGCAGGGGGGAGTTACTTGAGAGGAGGTAACCCACAAAGTGCCAGGTTTCTAATTAGGAGACTGACGTTCAGCCACACTTAAAGCCCACACAGCAGGGGCATCACAAACGTGACGTGGGAAGCACAGGCATACAATCCAACACCATAGCCAGCAGGCGGACACAGAGGGCAGTGCCCCCACTCTCCCCAAGTCCAGCTCTCAGGTACAGGCAGCCCAGTGGCCAGCATAGCAGGGAGGCTGGTTTGATAGTTAGCTCAGCCAACAAAAACACTTCTCAATAAGCTCCTGAAATACTGAAAATACTTTTTGTGAAAGGCAAAGCCTTCCATTCTCCATGTATAGAGAATATTTAAACATATATGCCCTTGGGGAAGATAACCCTCCAACACCCGACTCTGTCCATGGGGTGCAATCACTAGTGCATCTTTTCTAGGGAGAGAGGTCCTGAAGAGAAAAAATGGTACCCAAGGATGAGACCAGGGTTATCAAAGGTAAGTACATTTTCTTCAGTGCCCTTTTTTTTTTTTCACACAGACTCCACAGATATCTTTATGTCCCTTGAATGTCCCCTGTTCTCCTCAGGCTGATAGACTGAGGAGAACAGGGGACATTCTTTGCTCCCAGCTTCCCCCCTCACTATGTCTCACCCTAGGAATCTGAACCCCCCCCCCTAAGCATTAGCTTCCCCCAATCCCAGGACCTGCCCCTAGACTTACCTCCTTCAAAGCAAGCAGTCATTCAGGCTGAGGCAGCTGGACAGAAGGCTGTGTTTATATAAAGGGCTCTGGGTCTGGCTTAGACCATGAGACAATTGGTTGGCATCTGCCTGGCTCATCACCCAGGCTGGCATTCCAGCAGCCAGTCCCCTCCCTATTGTGTGCCTGTCTTTGCAGTCACCTACAGGGTGTGGGCGTGTATCACCTCAGTGATGAAGCTTCTGGACTACGGAGGAGCAGATTCTTGTGCTCTTCCTCCTTTCTCACCCTGTCTGTTTCCCCTTCACACTTAGAAGAGCTGGTGGTGGGATGAAGAGGAGTGGCAACGGGACCTGTTCTCCTGACTGATGGCTCCAGGCCCTTACCTTCTTCCTTGTCTGACAAATGGATATAAAAGAAGAAAAGCTCCCTAAACGGAAGCAGTTAAAATCACCTCAAAGGTACAGAATGAGGAGAACGCTGGGTTTGAGATGAATCTAACATCCCAGGTTGGCCACTTACAGTTGTGTGCCCTTTATAACTGACTTAAGTTTGATCCCATGATCTGCAAAATGGGGATATTCACTCTTCTTTGCTGAGCTATTGCGAAGATGAAGGCAACTATTGTATGCAAAAGCATCCAGTCAATAATGATATTCACGATATCTAACATCCACTCAGAGTAACTGGGGACCCAGCAGCAGACACAGCTGAATTGATGGCTGCTTGTGGTACCCCAGTCCTGGGCTGAACTGCCTGAAGTCATCACAGAAGGTGCACAGCTAATGCTACAGAGTCATGCTTCAGGAGAGCAGCGCAATGCAGGCCAGAAATAATACACTGGCATCTTGTGAGCCAGGTTCAGCCAAGATTCATATGTTCTTGTCTTTCGCCTAAGCATTTTTGCTCACATAGTTTTTTAAGTAATCATGAATATTTACAAACTGAGAGGTTTTGTGTTTGTTTTTGTTTTTTTAAAGATTACAGATATCTATTCAATAGTTTTCTCTCAAAAGTAAAAGGACTCAAACATTTTTTGTTATTATATGTTTATTTCTAGTCTCCAGTTGCAAGATTTTTTAAAGAAAAGAAATGGGGGCTAAAACAGTTCTAGAGATAAGGAACCATTGAACAGACTGTCAAACCATAGCGAGAAGGCAAAGGAGGTTGGGGGCGGGGGGAGGGGCTGTAAGAGATCCACCGAAGGACTTGTATGCATGCATATAAACATAACCAATGGATACAAGACATGGGGGAGGGGGTGAAGGCATATGTGGGGGAGTAGGGGAAGCTGGGAGGAGGTCAAGGGGGGAAAAAAGGACACATATGTACTATTATTTGTAATCCTTCAAACAATAAAAAAAATAATGTGCTATCACTACATTTAACTTTAAAATGAAAAAAAAAAATCAGGCATAGGTGGGCCCACCTCACTTCAACCTAATTAACATCTTCCCCTCTTAGGGAGGCCATATACTTTGATGTTCTATAATTCTCCATCTTTTTTATTACACTATCCACAATGCAATGCAAAGAGCAAACTTACTTTTATTATTTTACCTGTATTCTTATTTTTCTTTGATGAAATTAAAAGGTAAGTAAGTGGAATAATCCTTCCACCTGGATAACATTTTTTTTTAATGTAACTGTCCAGCCCCTGTCAGCATTTAAAATTCTGGCTAAGCTTGTGAGCAGGGACTTTAGATTTATAGAGGTTTGGGGTTGAATCTGAGCTCTGGTATTTGCTAATGAGGTGAAAGCTACTTAACCTTCATGAGCTTAGATTCCTTACCTATAAGACAGAAAGAAGAAAAATAAGGAGTAGGAGGAAGAGAAGGAAGGAAAGAAGTAAAGAAAGAAGAAGAATTAGAAAAGTCACAGAATTATTGTGTGAATTAGATGAAATAACTAGTCTAAAGTTTTAGTTTTTAATTAACAACTTAGCACTCTGGAGTTTAGTTTCCTCTTTGAAGGATGGGAGTGAAAATGCTTCGCCAAGTTCTCATGAAGAGAGAATCAGATAATGGGTATGAAAGTGCTTTGGGATCTATACTGCACATGCCAATTATAGCTATGAAATCCCTCACATGAGGAAGTCTCTGTCTAGATCAACTGACTTCAGAGTCCAAGTTCTGGATCTTATTACTCATTACAAAGAGGTGTCCAGATACCATTTTGAACTTGAGTAGGATCAGAAACTTTCAAAATGCCAGAAAAACAAGGAATTATCTGGTCCATTCTGTCATTCTCAAGATGAGGATAAGCCCAGAGAGAGAGGAACCTACGTGGATACTTAAAGCTAATGACTGCCTTGGAGGGACCATATCTCAGGTAGCTCTAGCCCCAGACAAGGACTCTTCCCACTACTGCAGAGGAGTTATTCCTCTGATCACATTATTTGCCAAGGTGCTACAAACTTGGATAGCTCTGGGGCTTGATCCTGGCTAATCATAAAAGCAGTGAAATAGGAAAGTTGAGAACATAGACCAGCTGACCCAACCAGAATGGGAATTACTGAATCCTAACAGCTGTTTCTTTCCCACTCATCTCTTGATAGAAAATGCACTTCTTGAAGGAGGAATCTCCATCTTATTCATCTTGGTATCTCTAGACTCCTGACTTCATATGAGTCTGTTGATTGACAGATAGATAGATAGATGAGTAGATGAGTAGAAGGATGGTAGAAATTGGACTTGGTTCACATATCTTAAACCACTGGAGAATGAGTTAATATTGTTCAATACAAAGACCGAAGAGCACTACAACTCTTGTTATTTCTTGCTTCTTACAAAGACAAGTGGGACAATGATGGGGAGAAATAAATTTTGCAGTTGACAATGAGGCGAGGTTACAGAATTTTCAACCATATAATTTTAGAGCCCAGACACCAAGCCAAAAACAAAACATCTAACTCCTGACATTCTTCCTTCTTTGATATGAAAGGTCCTAGAATTGAAAATTGTCATTGGTTAAAAATGGAATTAGTACTGAGTATGTGTAAAGGTGGAGGTAGATATAACTCATTCTTTTGTTTCATCAGGGAGGTTTAAAACTCTTAGAAAGGCATTTCTTATTTGGAGACATCTTAAAATTAAGTTGTCTCTTTGGATAAAGTTTCAGTGTGGCCTTCTAATCTCTGAGCCTATCTATATGTTTTATCACTGTCCCTGCTTTAACTCAAGTTTTCATAATCCCCTATATAGACTGGTACAACAGTCTCCTCACAGTTTTCCCTGCCATCTTTAAAAAAAAAATGACCCCAATCTTTGACACCCCACACAACATCAAATATTTATATATATATATATATATATATATATATATATATATATATACACACACACACACATATATATATATATATATATATATATATATATATATATATATATATATATATATATCAAATGAAGCCATACATGGTGGTTTTCATTCTCTCTGTACATATTGATATTCATTATGGCAGACATTTGCAAATGTTGTTTCCTCTTTCTGGAACATCCTTTCATCCCTCCTTTATGTCATTCCTTTTGTAATGTTTCTTGAGTCCCCAAAGCCATGACTCATTCACTCACTCACTCTATGTTCTGGCAGCACTTTAGACACACCCCATCATCAGAGCTATCATGTGTTCTCTGATTATTTACATTCTTGTCTTCCACACAACCGATGAGTCCCTCGAGGAAAAGTCAGTATCCCAGAAAGAGGCACTGTTCTAGTACATAGTTTTCAATTCACCTTGTTGATTAAGTAATTTAATTTTCAGGCATGCAGACATACACATACTCATGTGTATGCATGCATGCATTTAAGTCTAACATAGATATATATTTAGACTGCATTTTATAGATTTATTGGTTTCATTAACTACTGAAATATAATAAATGGATTTGTGATATTATAAATGCCAGATTAAAAGTCACAATAAATAGCAAAAGATAGAGGATTATAGACAGATAGACAGCCAGATAGATAGATAAATTTAAAGGCAGTGGTTATCTCCAGAGAGAGGTCATTACTTTTAGGAAGAGATATAAAGGCTATTCAGATAGGAGGGCGGTGCTGTTAGAAATAGGAGTGTAGGGTGAAGTATAAATGGTTAGAAATATAATGATATAAATCTAGGAATATATGATAATGTGGCAATTTACAAACGTGATATAAAAATATCAAGAGAGCTGAATATATAGTTACCTACAAAATTATAAAATACATATAACTACAATAAAATATAGAACAAAAGGTAAATATAAGTTATACATTTTTAAAAAAATACATAACGTAAATGCTACAAATTGGGGGTGGGATGTGTCGTGTGAAAGACACATAGAGGTTCAGGGGTAGCAGTGCATATGGGCACATGGGGAAAAAAAGGTGATGGCAACTTGAAAGCACACAAATCTAGAGATGACTCATTGAGCCCTGATATCTCATTGTCACTTGGCTAAGAATTTGATATAGATTAACTCTCTTAGTCTTTAAAATAGTCCTTGCAGGGTACATATTATTATCATGATGTTATAACTGAAAAAACAAAAGTTCAAAAAGGAAGTAAATTTATTGTAGGTCACAAGCTTAGAATTTAACAAATGAATCTTAGAAATGGCAGAACCAAGTTATCTAGAGGAAGAGGCCTTGGGGGTAAATATAAATGAGATAGTTACCTTGAGTCATGGATACACAGAGGTGCACTCTACATTTTATTATACTCTGAGATCTTTTTCAGGAGTTACAAGCCTTTGGGCTTGCTGAACCTTAAAAGAATGTATTAGTGTCTTAATGATGCCTTGATCCCAAGAGCTAGGACATGAACATTTACCTTCTGTTTGCAAAGATACATGTTTTCAATAGATGCAATATGACTCTTCTTCCTTTGGATCATTTCACAATCTTCAGATATATATAT